TAAAAGAAATATCTTGGCCATGGGAAAACAGCCCCTGATCTCAGTGAAACACCAAAATATTAAAACCTTTTGAATGCTCTAAAGAAATTTTTCTTCCAGCTGCCTTTACTGCCATGCACTTCAATGGCAAATAACTTTCCCACCCCTGCTGGCTCAGCCATGTCCTGGGAGTTTTGTGATCCCCCCAACACTGCCCCAAGGAGTCGGGCACTGCAGGATGATACAAGTAAAGTTCAAACATTAACATCCACCTGTACTGTAACCCCCTGAACTCATAATGGAGATCTTAAAGCTGCAGAGTGAGTAAGTGGTTTGCAGTTCAGGTTTCTTTTGTTTTCACACCCTGAAATGCAAAGCTGCAAAGAGGTGGTATTGTGTTTTAGCAGAAGGCATCAGGTTTCCAAATAGAGGAGCTAAACCTGCAACAGGGAAGCACAGGCAACACCTGCCCTTTCTGTCCTAAACCTGATGTTATTTAACCTCCAGAGAAAAAAGTAGGTTCATCATAGGGTGAAAACTTCCAAAGCCATCTTTTTCAAAAATAAAATGAGTGTCTGAATGCTAAGGTACTTTTTTTGCTAGAGACATGTACTTCTCTGTGTATATAGGCCATTTTGGACAGGGCTTTGAGTAACCTTGCTGAAGGTGTCCCTGTGTGGCTGGAACTACATGATCTTTCAGGGCCCTTCCAACCCAAGCCATTCTGTGATCCTATGATATGAGGATACATATACTAGTTTTGTGCAACTCAGGTATGTAGGCAGTAACAAATAACCAGTGCAAGTGCAGCAGTTCCTACTGACACTGTCTCTGCTGCAAATGGCACCATTTTAATCCCTGACTCAGGGTTTTTTCCCAGGGAGCGCAGTGGCAGGGAGTCGGCAGCCATCACTAGTGCAGCATGGGAGCAGTGTGCCTCCACACCATCCAGATACCTGACTCTTCAGGGACACTGATTTAACTTTGTTAGAGAGCTCATTTCCTGAGCTGGGTGGGCAGGTGGTACCTTTGCAATGAACCCAGCTTATCTGCCTGCTCTCCTTCTGAAAATGGGGCCTCTGAGGGGGTTTATTTGGCTTTTTCTCCTGTGGCTGTGTTTGAGAGCTCTCACATGTGGATGGATGCAGCAAACAGGTGGTGGGACCAGACCTGGTAACTTATTCTGGCTCATGAGCAGCTTCTTGCTCCTGAAAAAAGCAAAACAAGCAAAAAATCTGATATACAGATATTACTCAAACACGTGAGGGCCTGGGTGATGGCAAGTGCTGGGATTTGTGATAATGCTGTGACTTTGCCTCAGTGATTTCCTGGGTTTCTGTTCCCAGAGTTCATGCTGCTTCAAAGTGCTCACATTATAGAGCTGCTCCTGTCCTACATTTTGCCAGGCATGTAAATAGAATTAATTTCCTTCACCTGGTTTCTGCTCAAAGAAAAAGGAAAATCATATGAAATGTTCAATTGCAGAGGGTTAATATATAAGGGCTGTGTATTGATAGCTGAGATTGATATGTGGTGCATTTTAGACATTTTCCCCTCACACTTTTATTCTAAAATCGACTGTTGGCAAAAAAATAACAAGCTGTGTGCCCAGCTGATGCTGATTTGCATTTGGGTTTGTGCTGTGAGAGGAAGGGGAAAGAGAGAGGCATCCCTTATTCTTACACTTGTTCCCTCTTCTAGCTCATTACTTCTCTCCCCAGTTGGTGGCCATGGCACACATGCTGCTGTCCTTGACAGCACACAGGGAGAGGTGGGAGCCAAGGAAAGCTCTGCCTCAGGTGCCTCCCTGCACAAATTTTGGAGGTGCCTTGGCCACTGAGCTGCATGGCAGGGGTGCCCCGTTCTCTGGCTGCAGCAGCACCTTGGTCTCTTCTCATCATGGTCGAAGTATCCTTTTGGTTTTGTTTTCTTTACTTATTTTTGGCCCTGAGGTTTCCTTCCAGAATAGCTCCAGGGCGTGGAAATAGGACAGTGCAGCCCCAACCACAGCCTCAGCCCCACAGTGGACCCAGGCAGGACAGGAGCATGCTGCTCTGCTCATTTACTGCCCTGCAAAAATAATAATTAAATTTGGACCTTGGAGCCATGTCAGCCTGCGCCAGACAGGGACATTCTGACCGTGAGGTCCCCATGGGATCAGGAGAGTACATCAAAACCACACACAGTGCCCTTGCCAGGTGCAAGCCCACCCAGCTGCAGCTCAGAGCTGGTGCCAGCAGCTGGTGCCAACCCCACCAGCGTTGGGTCATGGGGGGGGTGTCAGGGGCTGGGCACAGCAGCAGCTGCCTGGGGGGTTCATCACCATGGGCTGTGTGAGGGCAGCAGTATGCCTAGACAGGTTTTGGGAGTGGGTTGTGTGCCTGACCCCCAGCTTGCTCATCAGGGCGCATAATGAGCAACATGGCAGCACATTTGTACACGTTAAAAAACTGATGGGAGTGCATTTGCACATGTGGGCTGCATGCTGCATGCCTACCTTCTCCCTGCTCCCAAAAAAAGGGCTTTTGCTGCTGTCACCTGATCATCTAATTCCAGCCCCCCTCTGCCACAGGCAGGGACACCTTCTGCTTGACCAGATTGGTCAAAGCCCTATCCCCCAGAGGCACATGAGCCTCCATGAGCTGTTCCATGTTTTTTTTCCCAACTGGTTATCTACAAAGGTGAGATAGTTTTCATAAAGCTTTCAGAGCCTGCAGTTGCTTTTAATAAAAGATACCTTTTTGGGCAAGTGGGTTATCTCTCCAAGCCCTGCTCCCTTGGACAGCCAGAGTTCTTGCAAAAGCGTTAAGAGACAAAGACGAATGCTCCAGTTCTGAGATGTGAAGCTTTTTAAAGTAATAATAATAAAAAAAATTCAAATGGAAACATTTTATGCGTTGGTTGACTTCCCTGCTGATCTCCCTGCCTGGTGCTGTGAGGTTGATGCTGCTGCTGCTGGTGGCCTGCCCAGGGAGCACCCGCTCCAGGAGCTAAACATAGGTGCTGGCTGCACAAGGCACTTGGGTACATGTTAATTATCCTGGTGCTTTTTAGGGATCTTGGGTGAAATATGTGTTTTTATAGTCAGTTTTCTATTTTGTTTTAAGCAGCCTGGAGCAAAAGCCCTTTAATTACATTAAAAATCGCCTCCCACCAGCACTCTCTGTTCCCAAGCCTTGATGAAATTTTAACCTCAAAGCTGGGCACATGCTCACCGCTTTCCTGGGCCAGGCAGCCCAGGACAGCATGAGACAGTTGGAAGCAGGGCTGTCTATTCTGAGCCCCCTGCATCACACCCACTAGCTGAGCAGCCCCTCCAGCTGTTCCAATCCCATGGGGTTGGGGGAGCATGGGAACCCTCAGAATGCTGGTCTCTCTCTTTAGTGGAGGCTGCTGTGTTGGCATTGGAAAACTGCATGGCTGCTTTTTTTCCTCCTTTTTTTTTTTTTTTTTTTTTTTTTTTTTTTGTGTGCATGTGTGGGTTTTCCTGGCATGAGGCACCAGCGAAAGCCACAGCCAGCTCCAGGCCTCCCTTGTAATTAGGGCTCCTCACGTGACACAACAGGTTTTGAAACCCGTGGGGCAGGCACAGCAGGGCTGCTGGACTCCCAGTGGGCTGCAAAGGACCTCTCCCTTCCCGAAAGTGTGTGGTGTGCATGGTGTTCCATCAGCAGTTAGCAACTCCCCATGATGTACCTATTGATGTGGTGATGAGAAAGAAAAAAAAAGGCTTTGTCATTCTGATCATAACCTGGGAATTTGGTCAACTGGTTGTAGGTGAGGCTTTTTGTGACCCTAGTTTTGAGCAGAAACATGAACCTTCAGGTCTTTCGTGGCAAAGTGGATTTTTCTGTCCTAAATAACCATAGTTTTACCACTAGCTGAGTGTCATGGACCTGCCTGAAGGCATGCTTTTTCCAGCACCACTGTTCTATCTCCAAGGGTTGTGGGGCTGAAGGCATTAGGTGGCAATGGATTTGCAGTTCTCTTTTCCACTGTGGAAAGCAAAGCTGCATTTGGGGAGGAGTCATTCTCCTGAGCTGCTGCAGCCCAGGTGTGTGAAGGAGCTCAGGGGCCTTTGCTGAGGAGTGCAGAAAAAGTCTGGGAAAGGCTGAGAAGAGGTGCACTGGAGAACTGGGTGACTGAAATCCCAGCAGGAAATTATATATATATAGCTAAAGGAGAAAGGATGCCCCTGCAGAGGTGGGTGCCAGGGCAGCATCTACGTGCCCCCATCCACTGCCATCAGGTGCAGGGCAGGAGTGGTGGGCTCTGATCACTGGCCACCAAGTTCCCCACTAGGCTTTGACTGAGCGTGGGTGGTATTTTTGCATTTTTTTTCTGCTTTGCTGGGGACATACACAGATTTCAGCTGGAGAATGCCTGATTTTGGAGACAGGCAACCAGGCTGGCCCCTGTGTGGGTCTGCATGGTTTGGGGGGCACAAGAAACAGAGCAGACATGCATTTTGTAGTATCACTGTGGCAGAAATGGCTCTTAAGGGGGGACTGGTGACACCTGTATCTGAGTCCCTTTTTTTTTCCCTGCCCTTACCAAGGCCTCTGCAAGCATCCTGGAGAGGGATTTGTTTGGATTTAGCTTTTTTCTGTCTAATGGCTATGCCCAAGTGGCTGTGGAGACGGGCCTTTGAGGTCGGTCTTTTTGTCTACTTGAAAAAACAGTGACAGAATTTCCCAAAAACGGGAGGTGGACACCCCCTAGGAACAGATTTCCCAATATTTATTTTAATTTAAGCCAAGAGTGTTATTATACCCTCGGCCTCATGGCCGTTCCTCTGAGGCCAGACCCTCAATTAGGCGGCGCAGTGCAAACCTCCCCAGGTTTGGCAGCGGCACGGGGCGCTGTGTTTGTGCACCAAATCTGCCAGCGCTGAAGTTTTTGGGGTTTTCTGGTGCACGGCGGTGGGCTGGCGTCACTCCGGGCAGGGCGGTGACTTGGCCTGGGGGGGGCAAAACCAGACCTTATATCCCAGCAGGGCAGCAGCAGGAGGAAATCTGTGCCAGCTGACTCTGTGGGGAGCTGTCGGTGCTGTGGAAGGGTAAGCTTCCTGCGACTTTTTCCAGTCTTTTTGTGCACTGCTGTCTGCTTTTTGTGGGAGGATGGGGGGGCTCAGCTCGCTGTTAGGTCTGGATGCTGCTTTTTGTCCTTCTCTCGGTCTGTGGCTTCATGAAGCCCTTGGGTGGAGGGGATGAGTATCCAGAGCCTTGCTGCGAGGTCAGAGAAGCTTGCGGCCACTTGTTTTCAAGCCTGAGTTAAACAAAGATAAGCAAACTTCAAGGACAGCTGAATTTAATAACAACTCCCCCCAAGCACAGCTGATGGTGGGTTTAGATAGAGGAAGTGTAGGAAAAAGGAAGGTTAGTGGGCCTTACTGAGTCTGGGGGGATGCCGGGAGCATCCCTCCCTGGGGCAAGGCTGGGACGCTGCGGAAAAGGTTGGATGTGCTCTTGCTCCTTGATGGGGGAGGACAGGCTGGGATTTGGTGCTTAGGGTGTGCAGCTCAGACCTGCCCAGAGCCAAGCCCCCTCCCAGATATGCCTACAGGGGGCTCCTTGCCTTGGTGTTTTGCCACTGCTATTTTTGTCAATGGCAGACTGCAGAAGGCAACTATATTAATTTCTTTGTTTGTTCATTTATTTTTCCTCAGAGAGGTTAAACTCTCTGTGGTGTAATTCCCAGCAGCATTGCTCCCTGGGCAGAGCCCAAGCAGACCTCAGGGCTGTGGGAGGGCGGCCACAGTGGGCAGTGCTCCCAGTTGCTCCTGTCACATCTCTGGTGGGGCTTGGCTTTCTCCCCTCCCTCAAAGGCAATGGGAAAGCAGGAGTGAGTAGTCCTGCTCAGGGAAAGCAGTGCATCTACTACGTGGTGAAACTCACTTTTCTGCTATTTTGTGGCTTCTTGAAAAATGTATTCATGGAGAAAAAAAAAAATAAAGGAAGGATTTAGGTCTGGGGAGGGGTTGGGAGATCCCATCAAGAGGTGGCTGGAGGTCAGCCTTTCTTCTCCCTGCTCATCCATGTGGACACAGACACACGGATAGTTTGAGGCTGAAAAGCAAGCACTCAATGTGTTTCACTGTTCTAGAGAAAGCAGCCATGAGGACAGTCCTGGTCTTTGTCTGCCTGGTGGGGATGGCGTGTGCCTTCTCGGTGAGTGCCAGGCAGGGGGGGACACCCCATCCTTGCCGGGGCTGGTGTGGGGCTTGTGTCAACCCACCCTTTCCCCCAGGTCAAGAGCTGGCTGCGGCGAGCCAAGCTGGATGACTCGGAAGAAAACGCGGTAGGGTCTCCCCCCGCCCTGCGCGCCCAGTCCCACACGGTGCTGGTCTTGAGGAAGAGCACATTTTGGTCGCTCCTGTACCCAAGCCCCCAGACTGATGGGATTTACCCCCTTCTTCTCCCGGTAGGTGTTCAAGAACAGGCACCGGCATTACCTGTACAGATACATCTATGTGTATCCCCCGCAGCGACGGTACCAGGTGGGTGCTTTGGAGGGGTTGCCGATGCTTCGCCACCCACCAAATGCAGGGATGTTGTCCCAAATGAGATTGGGAGGCATGGTCTGTGCCCTCTTTGCCCCTGGCCTGTGGGGCTGGGCACAGAGCCTCGCACTGTGACGCCAGCAGAAACCCACCCACTCGCCTACCACTTGGTTTTCCCTCTTCTTAGGGCAGTGACTCATCTGAGGAAGAGGGGGATGGCTCGGAGGAGGAGGAGGAAGGGGGGGTGAGTATGGCAAACCAACAGCTTGCAAAACAAATACGGGAAATTGGGAACTTTCTTTGGTTTTGTAGTCTCTGCTCATCAGCATTTGTGGCTGCTGACCGCCCACAGCCTTGCGCTCTGGATGCAACTGGATTTTCTACTCTGGGGCTTATTTTATTATTTATTGTGGATTTTTTTCCTTTTTTCTGTCCTTTTTATTCCTGTGTGGGGGATGCACCAAACAACCCTGAGACAAATGCTCTGGGTTTCCAGTTTCAGTGGCTCAGAAAGGAGCAAGACAGGCCAAAAGGCAGAAGCAGGGAGGCTCATGCAAGGAAGAAAGCGCTGTTAGGAACTCCTCTTACCGTCCTCTTTCAGGGTGTGCTGCCCCCACAGTGCTGACAAAATTGCTATGGAAAACACAGTTATGCTCCGCACTTATGTGTGTGGAGGGAGGGACACAAACTGATGAAAATTGGGAAATGCCCATTTGTACCAGTCCAGATGGTAATGCTTCTCCTGTCTGTTCGATCAATATGAGCTTGGGCACCTCTGCATTTGTGAGACTCACCCAGGTTCAACATTAAATGCAAGGGATTACAAAGGTCTCTTGTGCCTCACTGAGCTGCAAATGTTCAAAAATAATCCAGTGGTCTCCAGCACATGAGTGCTTTGAAAGAAGAATCTGGTATGCCTGGAAACCTGTGTGTCAGGTCTAATCACATCTTTTATTATTTCCTTCTTTTTTTATATATAATTTAATGAAAGTCTGGGACTCTGGTACTAAAACCCCCTTTGGAGGCCTTTTTGGGGCTGGGGTACAGTATGGGGTGGCCCCTGTCCCGCAGAGACCTCTGCCAGCATCAGCACCTCCCTGCAATTTGCCCCTTTTTGCCTATTTCTCTTCCCTACCACTGCAATCTCTAGGGATAACTTTCAGTAGTGGGATTGGGCAGCCTCAGGAAGAAAAGAAGAGTTATGCAGGAATGTAGCTGCTGTTTGGGGCTGCCCCTTTCCTTTCCAAGGAACCAGAGCAGTGGCTGTTCCCATGCAGGAATACTGACAGGGGCTGGTCAGCAAGAGAAATTGTGCTGAAAGGCCCAAAGGTCAGTTATAGGTATGTAAAGACCAATTATATCAGCTACTAGATGGGGAGCATCACTCCCATCAGCACAGCTGGATGCACCGTGCGATTTGATGGCTCTCCCATTGGAGAGGAAAACAGCCTGGATTTTCTCTGGCATCACGTGCACCCGTATTTTAAGGTCTGAGTTTGCCCAAAATGCCAGGGTAAGTGTCCTTGGTCTTGGCATGTGAGCAACAGGGATTGCCCAGGGCAGGGATGACACTGACCTCGTGTCTCCCTGCCATGGCAGGGTTCATTTGCTAGAGGCAACGTGCTCCTCCTCCCAGGCTGGGCACTGGGTGAGCTGCCCCATGAGTGGTTGCTCCAGGCTCTGCTTGCATTTGGGATATTCATTGCCTTTTTTAGCAGAGCACGCTGCTGGGAGCCCCACTCTGGTCTCGGGGACCAAGCAGTGCTCAATGGCTGATTGCTGGTGGGGTTCAGGCTCATGCCTGGCTTTGAGCCATCACGCTCTCACTAACCATCTCATATGACGTGCAGTGTGTCCATGTGTAGTGTGCCTGTGGCTTTCTTTGTTTACTGGAAACTGGGAGAGATGACTTCAAAAGAAAACCTTTAGATGCTTTGTAAAGCAAAATGTGTAGCCAGAATGGGAACACCCGACTCCAGCCACCACCACTTAATTGCACAGCTCCGGCTGCCCTGCTGCAGCTTCTCCATTTCAGTCTGGAACAAGACCCGTGGGAAAGCAGGAAACTCAGAGCAATGCCCAAATGCTGTGTGGGGATGCTGTGTGCCCCCCTCGCTGCTGGGAGGGCTGCGCTCCACTCCTGCTGCTGACTCCCTGCCCTGTCCTCTCCCTGTCCTTGCAGGAGCCGTTTCATGCTGGCACCAAGGTAGCTGGTCATCCTGCTGGAGCAGCCCCTGGGGACTGCCAAGGTGGGCTGGGAGGAGACGTCGCATCTCCCCAGCAGGTGTGGTTTGGGGAGCTGGAGGGGAGCACCCAGGGGGAGGGGTATGTTCACTGCATGTTTGCTTGCACCTATGGGTGCCCTCCACCCCCTTTCTGCCTTGGGGGGCTGCTGTGCAAGACACTCATGGCTGGACCAAGCTCTGGGTATTAACTTGGGGTTAGAAGGAGTACCCCAAAAAGACAGTCCTGCCATGCGAGGTGTGGGGGTGGTGCTCAGCTGTGCCCATGCCTGCCCCTTGTCACATGGAGCTGCAGCCTCCTGACACCCAAGTAATGCTGTGCTGTCTTCCCCCTGCCAGGGCAAGGACTGCCAAGGGACTCTGAAGGGGGTTAGGCATGGAACTGCCAGCAAGGGGGAAGACTCTGAAAATGAAGACAGTGATGAGAATGAGGAGGAGGAAGAGGAGGAAGAAGAAGTAGATGAGAATGAGAATGGAATCAATGGCACAAGCACCAACACCACTGAGGGGGCTGATGGACCTCATGGCAATGGCACTGCAGTGGCTGAGGAGGGCACTGGTGCAGCTGAGGAAGAGGAGGAAGAGGAGGAGGAGGAAGAAGAAGAAGAAGAGGAAGAGGAGGAGGAAGAGGAGGAAACTGAAGCCACCACCATCGCCAGCACCACCGATGAAGAGGGGCTGACCCAGGCGACCACTGTGGGAGATGGGGGACCCACAGACGCCACCACAGATGCCACCACAGTTGGGGAGCTGTGGGATTACGATGTGACGGCCAGGGACCACAGCCGGGGGGATGAGGGCACCACCACGGGTGGGTATGAGGAGCAGGACGAGTACGCCCGCGGGGACAGCTACCGGGCCTATGAGGACGAGTACGGCTACTACAAAGGGCACGGCTACGATGTGTATGGCCAGGATTACTACTACAGCCAGTGAGAAGGTTGGGGGGCATCCCTGGTGCTGCCCCCCACCTGCCCCATGCCACTCAGGAAGGTGCATCCGAAGGCTCACTGCAGCCACTGCATGCCAGAGGGGATGCCAGGCAGCTTGCCATGCACACTGGCTCCGTCCCAGGCTTTGGTTTTTTTTTTTTTTTTTTGTATCTTGCAAAGTGAAATGAAATAAAGCAACCGAACTGAGCTTGTTGGTGATGAAAGGTTTGCTGCCAAATTTGCTGGGATCCGTGGGGCAGCACAGTGGTTGGTGGGCTGACGGGTTACAGGTGCTCATGCTGCTCAGGGTTGAATCTTTTTATTCCAGCTCAGATGCACATGAAAGGAGGGAGGAACAAAAGGATAACTTGGAAAGCCTCCGTAGAGTCCTCTCTGAAAAATGAAAGGATGCTTTTTAGCATCATTGCTTTGGGTTTACAGCCATGTTTTACGTAGAGTTGACATGAATTTCCAGTGATAACTTTACCACATCCTCCATTCCTCGGTAGCATGCCTCCCATGGCCTGGCCACACAGTAGGCAATGTTAATAGAGGTAAAGACACTAATTTCTCTTTCTGTGCATCACTAGCTGTAGATGTATGCCCCTGCAATGAGGGCTTTGCTTCTTCATCCCTGTGCCAGGCACCTTGGATGTGTGCGTTAAACACCAGTACTGCAGCCCAAAATGTCCCTGTCACACAGTCTCATCCCCAGGGCAAGGTAGGGCTGTCCTAGAGACAGTGATGCATCCACTTGTTTCCTGCATCAGGGATGAGCATGCCTGGTTTGCAGTCCCCAGGATCCCTGCTCACAGTTACTTCCCAACAGGAGCATGTCCCTGTGTAGCTAAGGATCAGCACTACAGATAGGGATAGAATGACTTTGCCTGGGTTCCAGGCAGGTGCCACCATTTGGGAATAGTGATGGCAGGTTTATGGCAGATACCATGCTGCTCTCGCACTCCTAGAAAGGAAACCTGTGTTCAGCTCCCAGTGTAGGTCTGACTGCAAAATGAGTCCAGTTTCACAGCAGCAAACTGCTGGGCATTGTACAAAACTGCCTCTCTGTGCCAAAGCCAGGCTGCAGATGCTGGGGAGGCAGGAGGCGCTGCCTGCAGGGTGAGCACCCCTGGGGCCAAATCCCTACGGTGGCACTGGGGAGCCCTGCATGCCCTCGTGGCTGGTGGGAGGGACATGAGAGCCCCATCATCCACATCCCCAGGGGGTGCCCAAAGACGTCAGGGAACCAGCATGGACAAAGGGCCCTGGCGCTGCCAGGGGCCGAGTCCCACTCCCACAGGGCACATAGCCCAGTCCTGTGTGCGTCAGCCCCCCAGGCACCTGGCAAAAGCTCTCCTCCCTGAGCCAAGGCACACGGGCTGACTGCTCTGGTACCTGTGGGGCAGCATCTGGCTGCAGCTCCCAGGGCAAGGGCAAGTTTCAAGCTGGCTCTGAGATCTGCTCCTACCTGGGGCTGGATGCTGATGGTTTAAACATTTGTGGTGTTAATCCAGCAGTCATGCAAGCTCCCAGGGTTTGGGCTGGTGCAGAGTGGGATGAGAGCTGCTGTCACCATCACCACACTGAGCAGCTGAGCCAGGCTGGCTGCAGCAGGGGGAACCCCTCTTGGCAAGGGTATAGGTGACCAGCAATGCCACCAAAACTTGAGGCGGGGAGGAGAAGGGTTTGTACATCATACACATCTTTGTAGCACCTTTCCATAGCAAAGGTGGGCTTGAAGGGACCTGTGCAAGAAGTGCATGGAAAAATACCTTTTTTTTTCATTTTTTTGCCACTCTGCTATTTTGTACTTGCACAGGTTTAGCTCAGAGGTATTGAGGTTGAAACCCAAAAACAAGTGTCAGAAGCTACGGCGTGGTGGTAGCTCTTGGCTTGGCCAATGCTGCCCTGCGATGTACAGTCATGCCCAGGACCAGGCCTGGCTCAGGATATTGCCCTTCCCTTTCTGCAGCCCTCTGGCTTTCCCATGTCGGTCACAATGAGCATGCCAAGACCCACTGCACACCCTCTTATCAATAACCAAGCTGGCTGTGTGCCACACTAAGATCTACGCTAATCATCGAGCAATTTCGCCTTCAGAACAGATATTTATAAACTGTGCTTTCTGTTTATCCAGCCAGGTGGAACATTTGATAGCTGTCTTTCACCACAAACACATTTTTAGCTGGAAATTACTCCCCCTGGTTATCTGCGGGTGCTGCCAGTGCTGACAAATGTCCCTGGGCAGGAGCTGATTGGCTCTGCGCACCTGGGGCCAACTTTAAATTTCAGCAAAGTGGGCATACACTCCATGGTCTGCCGCTGGGATCTGCCTCCGACAGGGAAAGGTAATCTTCTTACCTAGTTTCCTGCCCTGTCTCTCCCTAGCCCTTCACCTCTACTTTCCCTGAACAGGGCTTCTCCTGCTTTCGCTCCAGGCAAGCCACAGTGGGGACGGGAACATCCCAATCCTCGGCTGTGCATATCTCTTGAGCCTACACTGCTTTGTACTGCTGATCCTTGTGCATGAATTTCCTTCTGGTGTTTCCTGTAGCAATGCTTGTATGGCTGAATATAGAGTCTGGGATGGACCTGCAAGCCCAAGCCAGGCTGGTTGGGTGAAATGAGAATTACTGGCCAACAGAGCTATTGCCTCCTGCCATTTATCAGTGTTCTTGAAAAGAGCCTGCAAGTTTCTTAATTCAGACTTATGACTGAACAGCTTAGCCTGCAGTGGCTTTGGGGATCATTTATTGCGAATACCCACCCAAGCTGCTTTGACAGAGGGAGTTAGGAAGTACCTGATGTCAGAGCACCCACTCAGTGCTGCTGGACCTGCCCTCTGCACATGGCGAGAGCATCACCTTTGCTGCAAGGAATGCAGAGGGGCAGGATGATGTCAGAGGCCACCACAAAGCTGGGGAAAGCAGGGTTTGCTGGAAAACCTTGCTGCCACGAGGGCTTTGGGATATCAGGAGCTTTTAGGTTGCTGCTAACCGGGATCATTGGGGACCACAAGTCCTAGGAAGACAAACTCCAGTGATGCTTCGCTTTGTGTCCCCAGGAGCAGCCCAAGATGAAAACAGCCCTGGTCTGCCTGTGCCTGTGCCTGCTCAGCACAGCCCTCTCAACACCTGTAAGTATGGCTCTCCCCGGATTGCCAGCATGCTGCTGAATCCAGTGCAACCCAGCATGCTTTCAGCATCAGGAAAACATGAGTTGTGCTTGCGTGTAACACCTCTGGTTCTTGGGAAGGGGACTGAGGTGCTACCGCAGAGGTGAACCCAGCAGCAAAAATATGTATTAGCATTGATGTGGCTGAGCATGTCCCTTCAGCTTAGCAATCAGGGCATTGTGCAAGAGCCAGTCTGGGTGGCTATAACTCTGCCTTGATTTGTGTGGATTTTGGATCTGCCAGGTGCTTTTGGCTTGAAAGTAGCCTGAGTGGAGCCACAAAACTGAGGTGCAGAAAGGATGCTTATCTTACCCATGTGGGTAACAGGGATCAGAGGGGCACCTGCAGTTACTCTCCAGGTCTCCTAATGTGAAAATTTGACTGATATAACTAAAACAAAGGGCAAACTAAGATAAATAAAACAGCAGCCATTTTTGTCCTGCACAATTGTTGCTCAACACACTAAATACACAGCTAGAGCGAAAGTCTGCTCCTAGAAAAGGCTTGCTTTTTTGGCAGGTAAGGAGGAGGGAAATCACATCTTCTCTGAGGGCTGGACCCCTGCTGTGTGTCTTTTAGCCCCCAGGGCAAGCTTGCACAACCAGGTCTGTAGTAGGGCAGCACAGGGAAAGGCAATAAATCAGTGCAGATTTACTTTTCAGATAGGGGCACAGAAGTTAATACTCTGCTACTTGATCAGGGCTGTAATCCAGTCTTTGATACTGTTCACAAACAATGGAATAACCTGGGATTATTTAACAATCTGGGGCATGTTTCTACCCATTTCAGCTGGACTTGGGATGTTTCAGTGACTAATTTTGCTGAGATCAAAGGGAACTCCCCTCCATGGGCCTGTCTCCCCCACTGGCATGTAGGGAAGACCTGAAATGGCTTGGTGGGACTCACAGGATACTCCCATCACCAAGTGCCCCAAGCCTGAGGGATGCAGGGATGGCCAGTATGTTCCAAAAGATGACAGGATAATCAGGGAGAGCTGTAAGCCTGCAAGCATGTATGGAAACCTGGCTTTGAGAGCACAGAGGTTGCTGCTCAGTTGGCAAGTAAACACTGGGAAACACCACCAGCTAATGAGCTCCAGGCTCCCATCACAGATGCCAGCAGTGAGTTGGAGCACCATGGTGCAAGCAGTGGTGCTGTGTATTAAAACTGCTCTGCAATAAAATACTCTGCAGCAGACTTACAGAAAAGGGTATTTGCAGACCAAGAATACCCTATGAAAAGTAGTGTGCAATGCTACTAATGCTACCAATCATGCTGTAGCAGAATTTGCAATACTTTTCAGACCCTGGAAATGGGGTTTAAACCTTTCCTATTATTGCTTCCTTTAAGCCAGCACCCCAGGTAGTGCCTGGGAATTTATTGGCTTATCAATACATTTCTCCCACCCTTCCCTGATCACTCTGGCATACCTATCATGCTGGGCAGGGTGGGTGGCCAGCAGTGGGGATTGGGAGCCACCTGGATGCTGGGGCAGTGTTTGATGCCTCAGCTCTTGCCTGTGTTTTGCTGCCCACAGGTGCCACCCCCGCTGTCTGGGAGAGCTTCTGGGAACTGTGTGGGACAGCACCGGGTATGTACCCCCCTGCCTCATCCAGACCCCATGGGTTGCCCTGCACCAGAAGTGCAGGGAGAAACAGTTGCTTTTGGAGGGTAGCCCCAGTGATCCATGGAGAAAGAGACCAGCAGTGCCTTTGCATCTGAACAGCTCTTACCAAGAGCAGGGATGGGGAAAGGTGTGACGCGCTCAGGTGAGGGAAGGGCTTCCTCCCCAAGGGGCTCCTCTGTCCCTGCCCAGCCCCAGAGCACAAATGCTTGGTGTACCCACAGGTGAGGGTGTAAAAGTCTCAGGCCCAATTGCTACAGGGTTTTTTCAAAGTGTTTTGGTGTAAAATGCATCAGTATCATAATTCAAATGAGTAGTATGGAAGAAAATGTCTGGCTTTCCCTATTGGAAACCAGTTGCTGTCCTTCCAGTAGCTTGATTGCCATCAGTCCCTTAACTCATGTCTGA